ACCCATGTGAAGATTTAAAAAAAAACTATTAACATTTTTGTTACAAGATTTAAGATGACTTTTTTGTTAGATTTTACAGATATTTTTAATCCACACCCAATTTACAAATCTTGATATAAAGAGAATTTACACAATAATCTTACAAATCTTGAGATAAGGTTTATACTTTAGCAAAAGTTTTAGAAAGGGGAGTATTTAGAGAATTAGACAGAACCAAGAAAAGGAGTGTGGGACAAGCAGCTGTGATTCCTATTGGGAACAGTTTACTTTTGAGCTGTTTTAAGTACATACTGTCTTTTCCTGTGATGTTACCTTTTGTTCTCCTCCCTGCAAAGAGTCAGGTGACCCACCTGATACAGGACAGAGATTTTTGGAGGAAACTTTGAAACAAGCATGCTTGGGTCTGGAGAGAGAAGGCCATAACCCAACTTTCGTTCTTTTTCTTTTTTTTTTTTTTAAGATTTATTTATTTATTATTTATACAGTGTTCTGCCTGCATGTGTCCCTGCAGGCCAGAAGAGGGCGCCAGATCTCATTACAGATGGTTGTGAGCCACCATGTGGTTGCTGGGAATTGAACTCAGGTCCTCTGGAAGAGCAGTCAGTGCTCTTGACTGCTGAGCCATCTCTCCAGCGCCCCCCCCCCCACTTTTTTATAGAACAACATAAAATGAAATTTTAATATTATCTACATTTGAATCTCTGTAGAACTGAGTTTAACAATCAGAGGGAGAAATGAGCAAGCAGAGCACGGAGGCTTTAGAGATAAGACATTTTTCAGAGTGGAGAGCAGATAAAATTTAGAGAGAAGAGACTTTGGGATCATTTGCGTAGAAGTTGTTACAGTCTGTGAGAATTTGGAAATCTAGTGTGCCGTCTCTGGCCACTGGGCTGTACTGAAGCCAAGCCATTTACAGTAAGACAGTGAGACTTAATGGAGCCTCTGAGTCCAAAGAGGAAAAGAGATTAGAGAAGACAGGTGAGTATTATGAATGGGAAGAGCCCATGGTTACAGACAGGAGTCAACTGAGAATGGAGCAAGACATCCTTTAGAAAAAGAGTGAAGAGTCGGGCGGTGGTGGCGCACGCGGTAATCCCAGCACTCGGGAGGCAGAGGCAGGCGGATCTCTGTGAGTTTGAGGCCAGCGTGGTCTACAGAGCGAGATCCAGGACAGGCTCCAAAACTACACAGAGAAACCCTGTCTCGGAAAACAAACAAACAAACCAAAAAAAAAAAAAAAAAAAGTGAAGAGGAGGTGGGAGAGGTTTAGGGAAAAGGGCCACAAACAGGAACTCTGCCAGAGGGAGGAAGCAACATCTTCGAGACCCAGGAGGGCGTAGAGAAGTTGCCTGATGTACCTGGGGGACTTAAACAGCAGGCTCCGGGGAGCCATTTAGGGAGACAGAGGGAGGTGAAGAGAAACTCGTGGTTAGCCCTGGTCAGGGGCAGAGAAAGTTCCAGGAGGGAACTGAGAGACGGGGCTACCGAGGAAGCAGCCAAGAGCAGAGTGAGCTCCAGGAGTGAACGAGGAGAGGAAGATCAAGGATAGGAGAGAGAAGAGTAAGTGTCCTGGTGACAAGAATTCCAATCTGGGATGTCCCCAAGCAAACCAAGAGACTTGTCAGAGAGAAATGTCTCACATCACAAAGGAGAGGCCTCCCTTTCCATGTGGTGGGTACTGCCTGCTGTACCGGGGCAACTCCTGCAGCAGTAGTAGTTTCCAGAAGCCAACAGAGCCAGAGCAGGCGACTCCAAGGTGACACTCGAGTACCAGGAAAGAGAAGATGGACAGAAGCAGCAGCTGAGGAGGCAGACTCTAATATTTGGAGTTGGATATGGTGGTGTCAGAAGGCAGCCGAAGCGAACGATCCATACCTTAGGAGAGTTACATCAGCTGCTTGGTTCAGTTAGGAGAGGCCGAGCTCCCCATCCCTGCCCCACCCCTGTGCTGTCTGATCACCCTGGCCGGCCCTCAGCAAGAATACTGCAGGTCAAGGTCTCAGCCCGCTTTCTCTTGCTGCAACTGTACACCGCAGATGGAAGAGCTGATGAAGAATGAATTTAGTTTACATGTCTAGCGCATGGTGCCAGCATCTCCCGGGCCCCTGGCAAGGATCTTCCTGCTGGGCGGCTCAGTGGAGGACACAGTGAGAGGCAGCAAGCTTTCCTTCATTACAAAGCCATTCCCCATAACCCACAAATCCCCTAATCCATTAATTCACACATGGATTAATCCATTTGAGAGGGCAGAGCCCTAATCACCTCCTGGCAGTCCAACCTGGTCACACCTCATTGTGTGGCTTAATCTGCATGAGTTTGAGCTGTGAAATTCAAACCCTAGCAGTTGGTTTAGTCAGAGTCTCCCTTATGCTTTTCGGGTTTGTGTGTGTACATGTTTGTGTATGTACTTATGTGAGTCTATGGGTGCAGGTGGAGACCAGAATTTGCATTCGGGTTACAGGCACCTGCTGCTGTTCCCAGCCTCTTATATGTGTGCTGTGGATCTGAACTCAGGTCCTCATGCTTGTGGGACAGGCTGACTAATCCCATCTCCCCAGTCCCATTCCTTCCCTTACGCCAGATGTTGCCTTTTTATTTTAATTTTTGAGAGAGTCTCATCTATCCCAGGCTAACCTTGAACTATGTAGCCAAGAACGACTTTGAATTTCTGACCTACCTGCCTCTGCCCCCTGAGTACTGAGGTTACAGGTGTGCACTGTCATGCCTATTTTATTTGTGCTGGAGATCTAACTCAGGGCTTCGTGTGTGCCAGGCAAGCAAGTACTCTACCAACTGAGCCTCAGCCTCTTGGTGTCTCTCAACTTTTTATCTGCCAATCCTCTACCACCTGCTCCTTGGCTGTAAACCCCATACTGTTCTTACCATATTCAGAATAGTTATCTTCTGCACCTAGCTTTTATTCTTTCCATCTACTACAATGGTCCTGAGTAACTCTGGTCTCCCAGGCTGAGACTCTGGCCAGCTCTGGCTTTGCTCTGGCTATGTCTAAGAAAAAGGGATTCCAGCTGCTTTGCAGGAGGCCAGGTGTAACATCAGTTGGCACCCTAGAAGTCTGCACAGACTTTCCACATTCAAATATCTCAAGTCCACAGGTCCTGCCAGAGGGGGAGCAGCAGCCTGTGCCCATCTCCCCCTCCCTGCCCTAGGGAAGAGGTGGGAGTACTCAGGGCCTATCCCTAGGCCTAGGGAGTGCCTTGCATCTCTTGCAGATCCTGGTGTGGACATCAGGTGTGGTTTGTAGCCCCTTGTGTACCTGTAGCTGTCCTGCCATAGACTAAGGCCTTCTGTCCCTGCAGGCTTGGGGGTGGGGGTGCCTCCTGTATGGTCTAGGATGTAGAACTCCTGTGAGGTGGGTGGCGTCCTTGGACCGAATGTTGTACAAACTCTGAAGTGCCAAGGAGCAAACAGTCTGCAGTTGGAAGGCCACATCAGGCTGCTAGACCTGGGGTGAGGAACTCTGCTCTGGGCCTCAGTTTCCCTCATGGGACCAAGTGAGGTCGGGTGCAGGAGATGTAAAGGTGGAATGCTGGCCTTCCTGATGTGGTTAAGCTATACCTCAGAGGCCCTTCAGAACGGTCCCAGTGTGGTCCTAGCAGGGCTTCTGCAGGATGTAACTCCTGGATTTAGCCCACACTTGCCCAAGCACACATGTAGGTCAAGTGCACATTCTCCACTGCCCTGGAACAAGGTCTGTCCATGCTGTCTGTCTCTCTGCCTGTGCAGACTGGTGCTGAGGGCAACTGCCAACCTGTTCTCCACCTGCCTGGCCTGGGGAAACTGAGCAAACTTCACTTTCTGCGGTGTTTAGCAAGGGGCCGGAGTGTATCGACCACTTCTACTGGGTCCAACCAAGAGTTCCCAATTCCCAGTGACCTTGCAAGTCAATCTCCAGATGCCTTTTGAGCCTCCCATCTCCTAGAGCAGAGGTTGCACCCCTGGGGGGAACTGAGGCAGAGATGGAGGGCTCAGGGATCCAGGGACTGTCCCGGGGCCCTCATTCCCGGTCTGGTTCCAATGTCTCAAGTTACAGCTCTAAAATTTGCTCCACTAGCACACCAGCAGAGACAGGTAAAATCTGGTGCCTGCAGCCATTGCTGGTTGTGAGGGTCTGCTTCTCTCACCCCCACAGACCTCCATTTCCTAGCTGGGCTTCCTGTGGTGAGCACTGAGCTGGAAGAGCCATGCCTACCTACAACAGAAGAGAAACAAGTGAGGAGGTGGAAAGATTTGCCTGAGGCTGCGCATTTTATAATTAGGGAAACTGAGGCTTAATCAGACTAAATGACTTCCCTAATTAGGTTGCAATGCCAGGCACTTGTCCCCTTTTGTAAATAGGGGACTTGATAAAAAGTTGTCCAACCAAGCTTCCTGTTAAGTCTCAATTCCTGGGTGCCAGTGAACGCCTACCGGCCTTTTTTGCCAGGCCTGACCTGCTACGTGACTCTGGGTAATTCACGTCTCTTTTAAGACTCAGTTTCTTCATCCCGGAGATGGGGGTGGGGCGGCCAGGGCGCAGCAAAGGAAAACTGAGCCGAGAAGCACACACCTACTTACTAACCTCGGAGAACAGCAGGCACCCGGCCCAGAGGAAGGGCGGGGTCTAAACTAAGGGGCGCAGACCCCAGGAACTATTGGAGAGGGTGTGCGTGGGGCGGGGCTCGAGTTCTCAGGTCCGTACTGGGGCCCGGGCAGTACTGGGCTCCTCGGCTGGGTCGCTTAAGCTGGAGGGGGCGGGACTCTGGTCACCGCTACAGCCTAAACTCCCCAGGGGCGGGGCTCACTGGGGCGCGTAGTTTAGAGCTCCAGGGAAAGCCTGAGTTTAGGATGACAGAGGGCGGGTTTCGGTGAGGGGCGTGGCTTATAGTAGTGGGTAGTGTTTAGCGCCCCAGCCCCGCCCACTGCTGACGCAGCCCCAGAGCTCCGTACGGGAAGGGGGCGTGGCTAGTTGGAGGGATGGGCTTGGGGCCGGAGACGCTGTCGCCGTCGCTGGGCGGGGCCTAGAGGGAAGAGGCGGGGCTTAGGGCCCGGCCTGCGGCGGCGGTCACCGGAGCCGTCGGGCCGGGCGGCGGACAGCCGAGGACCGCGGGGCGGCGCCGTGTCCTCCGCCATGACAGGTGGGCGCAGGGCCAGGCGGGCGACGGGAGCCGAGTGACCTTGGCGTTAGCTGGCGCCGATGACGCGGGCGTAGCGGCGCGCGGTGGCGGGGTGTCCCGGGCTCTGCGTGGCGGGCCGGGGGCGCTGGGGGTCTCGGGTGCAGAGTGGGGGGCCGTCGTGGACTGAGGAGACAGAACAGCAGGTGAGCGCCCACGCGGTGCACCGCACAGGCTGCACCTGCGGAGCGGGGCGGCGTCCCGGGGCGGGATGGATCTGAGAGAGGGAAATGGTGCTCACCGCCACTCTAGAGCGGCGATTGCACTCACCCCCTCGGAGGCGGGACCAGCGCTGCGCTCCTGGGCAGCCTGTGGTACCAGTGAGACGCCCATGCTTCCCGCTTGCTCCGGGGGGCCTGCGAGACTCCAGCGACGTCCCCTTACTAGATGAGTCTAGGGAATTCGGAGCCAGCAACTGGATTCCTGTTCTCTAGGCTTGGTAGCCCCAGCCCAACCCTTTGCTCTGGGGACTCGCCCGCTTCATTTCTGATCCCAGCCGGACACAGTGACATTGCTGTGCTGAGTTTTCCCTGTGAAAGAATGCCATAGGATGAGTCAGCGAGGGACCCCCTCTGGCAGAGAGCCCGGGGAATGTGGTGGCTCCCAGATGCCGCACTCGGTTTCTGGGAGTCTCACTCTTTCTTAAGCATCATGTGGCAGAGGTCATCTGGGATGGCCCAGGGAAGTTAGGATAGCCCCAGAAGTACCCAAGGGTTTCTAAATTGGAGTCAGCATTGGTGGTGCACAAAAATAAGACCTTATGAGCTAGAACCTGGGGACTTCCAAAACAGGCTAGAGGAAACCTCAGCTACCACTTTCTCCTTTGTAGTCCCTCCAGGCCCTTCTTGTTTGTGGCTGCAATTTCTGAGCACTACCTATGTGTAGAGCCCTGAATGAGTCCCTAATATGCACTCTTGTTCAGAATGTCTGTGTGGAGACATAAGGATTATTATGCCTGTGTAGGATAAAATCTTAGGTTGGGTAAGTGCCCCCAGACCACTCTGCTGGTCAGAGGTAGGAGCAGAATGGGAGGCGTGGTCTCAGTATTCATGCTGCGCCCTGCCCTGCCTCTGACTCTGACTTTCCAGATCCTCTGGTAAGCTCATCAGGATGTGTGGGACAGATCTCAGCTGTGTTGGTCTCCAAGGGCCCATTGCAAAGACAGGATACTCGGGGACAATGGGGCATCCCAGCTCCAGGAAAACAGGCAGTGGGGGGGGGGGCGGCAGGTGGGTAGTCACTTTTAGCTGGGAGGACACAGCCAGCCCCCGACTGTGGCAACAACACACACTCTTTTCTATCTGCCGTCTACTTGCTGACTTTTGGACACCTCAGCACCCTTCCTTTTTCTGGTAGGAGATGGAGACAGTAGAAGCCTGACAGGGTTGGATGGACAGCCCTGGGGCCTCGGTTCTTGGCTCAGTGCCCTAGTGCACCAGCTGGGGGTCTGCCATACAGATTAATCTTTGCTGCCTCTGTGTGTATGGCTATAGAACACTGAGAGTGTCTCTTCACGAACAGGTACCGTGGAGTGATGACAAGAGCTTCTGGGAGAGATTCAGGGGGGAGTTGATGCCCAAGTTGTACACCCCAGGAGAGTGATTGGTGAATTCTTGTAAGGGGCCTAAGTAAGCTGGGCATGAATCAACTCGATTTTCTCAGTCTATTGCCCGGGTTCTGACTCCATGGTTGTGAGCTGCAGACAGGAAGGCTTTGGGACCCCTATGGGCAGAGTAAGGGCAGGTGGGGCCCACTGCTTCAGGGTCCCAAATGCCAGAATAAGGACTTAGGTCTGGGCTGCAGAAGTTCAAGATGAGGTGACAGGGCCATGCTCCTGGTACCAGCTGGCAGGGAGGGAAATACAGGCAAAGGCTCATGGACTCTGCACAGAGTGATTCATCTTCTTTTATCTAGTAAAGGCATTCCTGGCCTTGTTTACAGGGTATCCAGGCAGAGCCTTGCCCGAGTCTGCATGATACCCAGTGGCTGCCTGTTTGTGGTTGCATGCATAGCTTACAAGAGCCACAGGAAGCACAGGAAGTGCCTTGCTCTAGAGCTGCTGGCTTCAGCTCCTGGGCTGGGCCATCCGTGCCAGGTGACTCAGGGCTCCTGTGACTCATGCCTGTGGGCAGCAGAGGCCCATCTTGCTAGCGGCTCTCAGGGTGGGAGGAGGCCGCTATGAGGCACTGGCCACTGTCTACCAGCAGACCTCGCCTTTGGACCTTGGACTGGAGCCCATTCATTCCAGAACTCTTTAATGAGTGCCTACTGTATGTGCAGCCCTGTATACATTGGCACAATATGGAGACAGACAGCCTTGGCCTGCTCCTGTCTGGAAGAGAGCAGACCCCTGAATTCACAGTGATCCATGTGTTAATGACAGAACAGGCAGCTGCAGCATGGCTATGTTACCTCCAGGCTGATGGCAGTCTTGTAACTTTACCATGCCTTCATTTCCCTATCTGAGAGCGTGGCAGCTGCAGAGCTGGTGGGAGGATGGAGGTTGTAGGTAGGTGTAAATAGAACCACAAAGTGTCTGGCCTGTGGATTGTTTTGTGCGTTGGCTCAGTGTTCATCTGAACTCTTTAATAAGATGCTGCAGGTACTGAAGCCAGCCTCTACCTAATGCACCTGGTAATGTGGCAAGTCACTGGGTATCCCTGGGCTGTTGGTAAGTCTGTCTTCTATGTAGATTGTCAGGGGCTCGGCCAATATTCCCAGTCCCCAGCTGCCATGACTGGGTGGTGCTGATGGCCTCAGACAGGGGTGGAATGGCTGATGAGCCGAAGTATGGGCCTTGGGGGAGCAATGTCTGTCAACCAGGACAGGCCTATCCCTAGTCTCTGAGAGCAGGCTTCTGGGCTGAGGATGTGTTTATGGGTCCTTGGTGAATGCAGCCCCACTGTTACACTGAACTGGAAGACACCCCAAGTTCCTGGCATAGGGTGGGCATGCTGATAGGCTGTGCCCACCTGCGTAAGGAAGGACTCCCCAAAGCCACCATCAGGGAAGAGAGGGTGAAGGAGTCTGTTGTTGGTTGGTCTTTGGTCTTTCTGGGGACCCACCACCCAGCTCTCAAATAAATCACTCACGGAGGCTTATTCTTAATTAGGAATGCCTGGCCTTAAGCTTGGCTTTTTTCTTGCCAGCTTTCCTTAACTTAAATTATCCTGTCTATCTTTTGCCTCTGGGCTTTTCCCGTTCTCTTACTTCTGTAAATCTTACTCTTACTGTGTAGCTAGCTGGGTGGCTGGCCCATGATACCCTCCTCCTCCTCTGGCTCCTAATTCTCCTCTTCTTCCAAATTCCTCCTTCTATATATTCTCTCTGCCTGCCAGCCCTGCCTATCCTTTCTCCTGCCTCACTATTGGCCGTTCAGCTCTTTATTAGACCATCAGGTGTTTTAGATAGGCACAGTATCACAGCTTCACAGAGTTAAATAAGCAAATACAATATAAACAAAAGTAACAAACCTTAGCCGGGCGGTGGTGGTGGTGCATGCCTTTAATCCCAGCACTCGGGAGGCAGAGCCAGGCGGATCTCTGTGAGTTCGAGGCCAGCCTGGACTACCAAGTGAGTTCCAGGAAAGGCGCAAAGCTACACAGAGAAACCCTGTCTCGAAAAACCAAAAAAATAAATAAATAAATAAAAGTAACAAACCTTAAAATAATATTCCCCAACAGGAGTCAGAAGACAGACCAGCCAGGAGGTGTGAGGAAGGTAGCCTGTTGATTCCATACCCAGGGATGAAGCCAGGGACCAAGCCAGGGACCCAGCTCACTTTTCTCAACATGATGACCCTATTTTGTAAAAAGCCAACCTACCTTATAGAGGTCTAATCCAATTGCAAGCAGATACACTTGCTTTTAGATTTATTTTCTGTCTACGAATATTTTGCATACATGCATATATGTGCACCGTGTGTGTGCCTGGTGCCAAGAAGGTCAGAAGAAGCCATCGCAACCCATTGGATTTGGAGTTACAGACCATTGAGAGTGACCTTATGTCCTCCAAGAGCAACATGTGCCTTAACCTCTAAGCTGTCTCTCCGGCCCCTGCATTTGCTTTTAAAAAACAGTTTGATACATTCTGACAAATGCCTGCACCTGTGTAAGCACAAACCAGATAGCATCTAGACATTTCTGTGACTCAGGAAGATTCTTTGGGCTCCTTCTCAAGTAATCTATTCCTACTCAGGGTTGCTCTGCTTTCCAGAATTCCCCATCCTGCCCCCAGTTTTCCCATAAACATCAACAATGGAAATTTCCAAATAAGTTTTTTTAATAGACTTTACTTATTTGTTTAATTTATTTTGAGTCAAAGTCTCTCTTTGTTGTCCAGCAGCTGCAGCCTTTCCAGTAGCTAGGACTTCAAGTGTATACTGCCTTGGTGTATACTTCCTTCCTGGTGTATACTGCCTGGGTATATACTGCCTGGTGTATACTGCCTGGGTGTATACTACCTGGGTGTTTACTGCCTGGTGTTTACTGCCTGGGTGTTTACTGCCTGGTGTTTACTGCCTGGGTGTTTACTGCCTGGTGTATACTGCCTAGGTGTATACTGCCTGGGTGTATACTGCCTGAGTGTATACTCCCTGAGTGTATACTGTCTGGTGTATACTGCCTGGGTGTATACTGCCTGGTATATACTGCCTGGTGTATACTGCCTGGGTGTATACTGCCTGGGTGTATACTGCCTGGGTGTATACTGCCTGGTGTATACTGCTTGTATATTGCCTGGGTGTATACTCCCTAAGTGTATACTGCCTGAGTGTATACTCCCTGAGTGTATACTGTCTGGTGTATACTGCCTGGGTGTATACTGCCTGGTGTATACTGCCTGGCTCTGGCCTTTATTTGGGGAACAACTGCCTGGAGATTGAACAGATAGTGCAGAGATTGAGGAAATGGACTCCCCTTCCCTCCCTTATATCATTACCATTTTCTATCAATTTGTTAGTAGCTGGAGCCCAGAATCTGCATTAGCATTCCCTCCTTGTATTGGACATTCAGTGAGCTTTGACAAATGCTTTATGCCATAACACAGAATAGTTTCAGTGCCTAACACTCCTCTGTGCCTGCTTACTCATCCCTCCCTCCCTCCCCATGCCTGGCAACCCCTGATTTTATTGTCTCCTTGGTATTGCCTTTTCTGCACTGTGGTGTAATTAGACCCATACGGTATGGGGCTTTTTCAGACAGGCTCTTTCACTTAGTACTGTGTGTTGAAGGCTCCTCCACAGCTTTTCATGTCACTAGTTTATTTATCCTTTGCAGTACTGAGGACTGAACCTAGGACCTTGTGCATGCTAGGAAAGATACCACTGAAATGTATCTTTAAAATTTTTATTTTGATACAAGGCCTCACTAAGTTGCTCCAATAGGCCTTGAAGCTGGGGTCCTTCTGTCTCAGCTTGGCTCATCTTTCCACCCATATCTTGTGATGTGTGTGCATGTGTGTGTGAGGGTGAGCACATGCCATAGCACACATCCAGAAATCAGAGGACAGCCTCAGGTGTCAGTCCTCACCTACCTTGTTTGAGACGGTCTCTCTTCTCTTGTTTACTGTGACATGTATGCCAAGCTAGCGGCTCATGAGCGGCTGGGGATTCCTGTCCCCACCTCAGTTCTTGAGGCAGGGTCCCTAGAGTTCACCAGTTCAGCTAGACTCTCTGTCTAGGAAGCTCTAGGGATCTGCCCGCCTTAACCTCAGTGCTGGGATTACAGGGCTATGCCGATGCTCCTTGGTTTGTGTGAGTTCAGAGGAATTTCTCAGGTCCCCACACCTGTGCACAGCTCCAAGCCTGACTGAGCCATCTTCTTCCTGACCTCTTTTGTGTTTGTTTTATTTTTTATTTTATTTTATTTATTTATTTATTTATTTTGGTTTTTCGGGATAGGGTTTCTCTGTGTAGCTTTCCTGGATCTCGCTCTGTAGACCAGGCTGGCCTTGAACTCACAAAGATCCACCTGCCTCTGCCTCCCAAGAGCTGGGATTAAAGGCGTGCGCCACCAACACCCGGTGTGTTTGTTTTATTTATTTGTTTATTTTTGTTTTGTTTTTGTTTTTTGGTCTCACATTATGTAGCCTAGACTTGCCTTGAACTTATAATCCTCCTGCCTCAGCATTCCGAGTGCTTGAACTTATAATCCTCCTGCCTCAGCATTCCGAGTGCTAAAATTACAGATGTACATCACCGTACTCGGCCACCCTGTTGTCATTTCTGATGTTAGGAATTTGAGTCATTTTTGTCAGTCTGTTTAAGTCCCTGTTAATTTTGCTGACCTTTTCAGTGAATACACTTGGGTTTTGTTGACTTTTCTCTTTTGTAACTGTTGTCTTCTCCGGGTTATCTCCACTCTACTCTGCGCCAGTCCCCTCTTTCCGTTAGCTTTGTGTCTGACTTGTCTGGTTCTTCTAGCCCCTCTCTCCTTCCTTCCCTTCCAAGTGAGCTGCCTTTGTAAAAGTTGGGGAGGTGTCGGTCGTGTTAGGCCATTCATTTTAGCTTTTTTTTTTTTTTTTTTTTTTTTTTGAGACAAGGTTTCACTATGCACTGTGTAACTCCAGCGAGCCTGGACTCTACATGGATCAGGGTGTCCTCAGACCCATAGAACTCTCCCTGCCTCTCCTCCAGAGTGGTAGGAGTAAAGCATGTGCCACACTGGACCCAAGCTCGCTCTTTTTTAAAGTGTGTGAGTTTATGGCTCTTGCTTCTGCCTCTCAGAGGTGTGCTGGCTCCATCCCTTAGATTTTGGTGTGTTTGTTTCTCATTTGACTCAAGGTTGTTTTCGGTTTATTTTGTGGTTTCATTTTGACCTGTTAGTTTAGTGGTTCTCAACCTGTGGGGTGTGACCCCTTTGCGGGTCAAACTACCCTTTCGCAGGGGTCGCCTAAGACCATCAGAAAACACAGATATCTGTATTACTATTCATGGCAGTAGCAAAATTACAGTTATGAAGTAGCAATGAAAATAATTTATGCTTAGGGGGTCACCACAAAATGAGGAACTGTATTAAAAGAGCCACAGCATTAGGACGGTTGAGAACCGCTGTATTAGTTGTTTGATTCCTACAGATTTGTGAACTCTGGTGGTATTGATCTCTAGGTTCATGTAACATGATCCAAAAAGAGCCTTTGATTTAAATGCTTGTAAATATATTGAGACTTATTTGTGACTGAGGATCTGCATGTTTTGTGATCTAGAGTATGTTCATGTGCACTTGGGAAAAGTGTGGGGCTTTTTTTTGTTACTGGGTAGTGTGTTTTGTGTGTGACTTTTAGGTACAGTTTAAAGTATTGCTCAAGTCTTGCATTTCCTTATTGATCTTACAGCTGGTCTGTTGTTTAAAGTGGTGCATTAACATCTTTAAATGTTATAGAGCTGTCTGCCTCCCTTCAGTTCCACCAATATTTCCTCATCTGGGGCTCTGATACTTGGTGCAGATGTGTTTATAGTTGTTACATGTTCCTGATGAATAAACCTTTTATTTACATATGCTGTTTTGTTTTTGTTTTTTTAAATCTCTTGTACCAGTTTTGACTTAAGGTCTATTTTGTCTAATACTAATCCAGCCACTCCTGTTTCTGGTTTGGTTTCTGTTTACAATCAAGTGTGTTCAACCTGCTGCCTGTGGGCCACATGGGGCTGGATGGGACTGAGGACAGCTGTGAATGTAGCCCAACACAGAACTGTAAACTTACTTAAAACATTATGAAACTGTTCTTGAACATAACATTTGTAGATGACAACTTCCCATGCTCAAATGTCAGAAGACTGGACACACCTAAGTGGACTGCCCTTTTCCCCCTCTCAGTTTCAACCTATTTGTGTCTTTAGCTCTTTAGTGAGTGTCTTGGAGTAGTTAGTTGGGGCATATTTTTTTTATGCCCTTCTTCCAATCTCTGCCTTTTGATTAGAGAGTTTATCCTACTTACATTTAAAGTAATTGTTGAGAAAGAAAGATTTGTCTCTGCTGTTTGTGTTTTGTAGGTCTTTTAGCTTTTTCAGCCCTTGTTTCTACCTTGGCTGATTTCCTTTGTATATAGTTAATATTTTTGTGGTAACATTTTGATTCTTTTATTTACTTTATGTGTAGTCTATAGATACCGTCTTCATGGTTAACATGGAAATTCCAGATGCACCCTCCAGAGAGACTCTTGCCCTTCCAGCAGGTGTGGTCTCCTGTGGTCAGCACAGGGGTGCCATCTTGGGTCCCTTTGGAGGCTGTGCCGGCTTACCCCTCATGCTATCCACATGTGTTCCAGATCAGACCTACTGTGACCGGCTGGTACAGGACACACCTTTCCTGACAGGACAGGGTCGCCTGAGCGAGCAACAAGTGGACAGGATCATCCTCCAGCTGAACCGCTACTACCCACAAATCCTTACCAACAAGGAGGCCGAAAAGGTGCTGAGGGGTGAGCAGGGCAAGGGTACCTCTTGGGTGTCTCCCCTCTGTAATTAGAGTCTTTCTCTGTCCCTCTAGCCAGCTCTCAAATAATAACACAGAGACTTTTTATTAATTATGAAAGCTCAGCCTTAGCTTAGGCTGTTTCTAATTAGCTCTTATAACTTAAATTAGCTCATTTCTGTTCATCTACATGCTGCCATGTGGCTTGTGACTTTTACCTCTCCTACATGTCCTGCTTCCTCTGTGTCCAGCTGGCGACTCCCCCTTTCTTTTTCCTAGAGTTCTCTCTCTGTCTGGAAGTCCTGCCCATACCTCCTGCCTAGCTATTGGCCATTTAGCTTTTTATTAAACCAATCACAGTGGTTTATTTTTACACAGTGTAATCAAATATCTCACAAGACCCCTCTCTGAACTGGAAGAAGCTGTCATAGGCCTTGAGTTGTCTTCTCAGGAATGGGAGTCACACCTGGACTTGGGCAGATCCACATGGCCTTACATCATCAGATCTTTATGCCTCAGTTTCTCCAAATGTTCTTGTGGCTGCTAGCCCCTTCCAGAATTATGAGAAGATTGCAGGAGGTGATACATGGTGTCTTAGTTAGAGTTACTATTGCTAGGATAAAACACCATGACCAAAGTCAAATTGGGGAAGAAAGGGTTTATTTGGCTTATGCTTCCACATCCATAGTCCGTAACTGAAGGAAGTCAGGACAAGAATCCAAACAGGGCAGAAACCTAGAGGAAGGAGCTGATGCAGAGGCCATCGAGGAGTGCTGCTTACTGGCTTGATCATCATGGTTTGCTCGACCTGGTTTCTTACAGAATCCAGGACCATCAGCCCAGGGATGGCACTACCCACAATGAACAGGGCCTTCCCCATCAGTGCTCTACAGGGTTGCCTACAGCCCACTCTTATAGAGGCATTTTCTTAACTGAGATTCCCTCCTCTCAGATGACTCTAAATGTGTCAAGTTGACATAAAATTAGCCATCACACATGACAACACACAACACAAGAATAAAAGGAGGGCCGAGGAAGGCGAGATCAGAAGTCCAGACCTGGAATTTGGGTATATAGCTCAGTTGGTAAAATGCTTTCTGTGTGAATATGAGACTTGAGTTGGATCCCCAACTGTAACCTCAGCAGACACGGAGACAGTAGATCCCAGGGCCTTGCTGGCCAACCAGTTTAGCCAAAATGGTGAACTCCAGGTTCAGTGAGAGACTCTGCCTCAAAAAAGTAGGGTACAGTGTAGCAGGAATCTTAAAGGGTCTTATTAATTAAATCAAATCTGAGGCCAGTTATTGGGGTGAACACTAGAAGATCAGAGAGACAGAACAAGCCACAGCTAATCTCACCTGGCCAACTTCTCAGATGATCTTGTTTCCTCAGACTGGAAGCCTCTGTGTCCTCATATCCGAATGGCTCTCAGCTGAACTGTGCTGCTCAAAACCTAAAAGCTTAATCAGCCAAATGCTTCTAGTTTCTAGTCCTCGTGCCTTATATATCTTTCTGTTTTTGCCATCACTTCCTGGGATTAAAGGCTCACTTCTTGGGATTAAAGGCGTGAGTCACCATGCCTGGCTGTTTCCAATGTGGCCTTGAACTCACAGAGATCCAGAGGGAGTGCTAGGATTAAAGGTGTGAGTGCCACCATTTTCTAGCCTTTGTATCTAGTGGCTGTTCTGTTCTCTGATCCCAGATAAGTTTATTAGGGTGCACAATATTTTGGGGGACACAATACCACCACAGTACAGAGCCATTGAGGAAAGAATCCTGATATCAACCCCTGGCCTCTACGTGCACCCACGTGCATGGGCACCCCCCCCCCCCCACACACCCTCACACACAGACACACAGACACACACACACACCCCTATACCATATACACACAGACACAGACACATATGCACACTCACACACACACACACACACATACATACCACACCACACATATGTAGACATGTAGACACACAGACACATACCACACACACACACCTACACCATATGCACATAGACACAGACACATATGCACATTCACACTATACCATACACACACACCACACTACACATGTGTAGACATGCAGACACACACACACACCACACACATGCACACACACCACACTACACATATGTAGACATGCAGACACACAGACCATACACACACATACATACACACACACCAGAAGTCTGGACCTGTTGGTACCCTGGAACTATGGCTCTTCCAGAGGGTCAAAGTAAGTGAAGGTTCACTGCTTTTTCCTTGTCATTCTTCCTTGTGTTTATAAGGCCAAAAGGCCAACCTATAATAGATGAGCAGTGGAGGCTGCCCCTAACCCACAGCCCAGCTTGGCCTGCCTGCTCAGCAGACTTGATGGAGGCCGGTCCCACTGGGAGCTTCAGCGTCTGTGAAACAAGCATGCTATCCCACTTGGCTCAGAGACTGGAATGTGGCCTGGTCCACCTGAGCTAGGTGAACTCTGGACATCTCGGGTTCTCACCCACAGCCCTACAAATAGCTGAAGTCATCACCCCATTTTACAGAGGGGACTACTGAGGCCTGAAAGGCCTCACAGCTGCAGACACCATAACAGTTCTCCGGAGATGGCACTTCAGATGTAGTCCCTGGGCTTTGTGTCACAAAGGTTAATCCTGCCTAATTCCTCCAGGCCTGAGAAGGGGACCCCAACAAGCCCCAGGTTTCGGGGACAAGGATGAGTTGGGCCTGGCCTTCCCCAAGTTTCAGCACAGGCCCCTGGCAGTGTCACCAAGATTGGAGGTACTGGATAGGACAGTGAGTGACAGAGACCCACTAGACCTTTGAGGGTCCATTTCAGATCCTGCTCCTGGTCACCTCTTCTGGGTACCACAGATGATTCCCTTTCTGGGAGGTCGTCTCAGAGCCGGCAGAGTTGGGCGGAAGAGAAGCAGAGTCAGCTCAGACACAGTGTGAGCCCCACAGTGTGATCTGAAAAAGAGACAGGCTCAAATTCGCCCCCGTGTTGCAGTAAGAAGTCTAATACATAAACTTGAGATGTTTATACCCCGAGGGGGATGTCCTCGCACAGGCCCCCCAGGCTTCTGTTATCTCTGGTCAGTTTTCTCCCGTAGCCACCAGGGGGCAGCACCAGACCACAGCCTCCTGGGTCTGGACTCAGTGCCAAGTGGTCTGTCCACTGACCTTCACAACCACGTCGGAAGAAACTGTTCTTTTCTCAGTGGCTTTTGAGATACTAGCCTCATGTTCCCACAGACTGAAAAGTAATAGCAACTATCACGTATGCCGTCATTCGCGCTCTGTAACAACCCCACCACGTGGGATTATTTCCTTTTTACAAAACCCGTGTCTCAGAGGGCTGAAGTGACTCACTGAGGCCACACGGGGAGAAGCTACACTTAGGGTGATGTCCCTCACGCCCTGCTTCCTTGGTGACCTCTCCCAGCCTGTTGTCCTGGAAACACAAGTATTAGCCAAGACTTAGCCGGCTACTAACTGCTCCAGGGTTGGGTGCCACACGGCTGTGTGAGAGGTGGTGAGGGTTCTGAAGTCTGTGGCACTGAGGCTGGGGTCCTGAGCGCACCACGTCACAGCTGCCCCCTCCAGCCCACCCTTCCTTCTGCCCCCAGTTCCGGAACCCCAAGGCGTCCCTGCGTGTGCGGCTCTGCGACCTCCTGAGCCACCTACAGCAGCGTGGGGAGCGGCACTGTCAGGAATTCTACCGAGCGCTCTACATCCATGCCCAGCCCCTGCACAACCACCTGCCCAGCCGCTACACCCTTCGTAAGTCCTGCCCCCCCCCGCCCCCGCCCCGTGCAGCACCCCACACTCACCAGGGAGGGCGCCAACTGCTAGCAGCGTGGCGGACCTCTGTGCCCATCTGAGTCTACAGCAGCCCAGCCTGGGCATCTCTTCCATCTGGTCCCTCCTCAGAGACCGCCCAGAGAGACTAGCACAGGCTGGCATATCAGTCTATCCCTCTCCCTCTCTGTCGCTTCCCTTCCCCGGGCCAGTTTTCGTACAGAAGCCGGCGCCCCACGTATCCCGCCTGCCTCCCCTCGTTTCCCACGGCTCAGTACATAGCAGCTTCATTCTCACAGCCCAGTGCTGCGCCTGGGTCATCCCAGCAGGGAGTTACCAAGCCCACAGTGGACCCTAAGGCCGTGTCTACTTTTTCTATCACCAGTCTGCTCATGTGGGGCTTCTGTAGGGCGTCCTTGGGTGTCGGTGTGGATGGTTGGTGAGAGATGTGATCTAGAGCTGTAGGTGATAGGTAGGTCCCAAAGGTCTGGGGTCACTGGGGCTGCTGGGATCTGGAAGGTCACAGTAAGGCCAGTGTGGCGACTCAGTTCCAAGGTTCTGTGCTTAGGGGCCTGAGAGGAGGTTCTGTTGCTGCAGACAGGAAGATGAGGTGACTCTGTCCATGCGCTGTGCTTGGACTCTGCGCTGGTGTCTCTGATCCCAAGGAGTCTTCCCCAAACCTCACAGAACACAGTGTGGACAGTTGAGGACAGAGTGAAAAGGCTTTCTTCCTCAGCTCTACAGAAACTGCTTCACTGAGTCCTTTAGCACCCAGCTGGATCCAAGCCACATCCCTACAGGAAATGAAGCACCTTCTGTGGTTCAGAGGTGCCCCGGGGTCCGTGTGGCACGCCAGCTGCCTGCTAACCCCATGGGGGAGTCTAGGGAAAAGCTCTGGCCTGCTGCGTCTGGTATGGCAGCCCCGGTGATGTGAGCAGTTGAGTCTTGATAGTGGATGTTTGTCCTGGCTTTGATGACTTGTGGCAAACAGGACTCAGTGGCCTACTCCACACCTGTGACATCACAGAAACTAGACCAAAGGAACCCCAAATTTATGCAGTGTTCTCTGGAGAGTTGACCTCACTATGTGACCCACTGGGCCCGCCCAGGGCACCCACTGCAGTGGCCATTGAGGAAACGTGTGAGCCCAGCACCTTCAGGAGGCAGAGGCGGGGACAACCCCGCGCTCAGCTCAGCCCTCTACTAACCATGCTCTGTAATTTTGTTTCCAGAAAACTCAGATTGCAGAGAGCTGGACTGGGACAGTGACAGCCGTGAGCTGAGTGACAGGGGTAACACCCCGCCACCTCCTTTCTCTCTCCCTTTTCCCTCAGGGCTCTGTCTGTGTCCCGGGGGCTTCTCCATCCCACATCGGGGTTTCTTCCTGGCTTTCTGTTGGGGGGCAGGCCCCCTGTAGTGCTCGCCAGCTGTTACAGGCCACCCCCCCCTCCTTTCTCTCCAGGACCCATGAGCTTCCTGGCAGGCCTAGGCCTGGCCGCGGGCCTGGCCCTCCTCCTCTACTGCTGCCCTCCAGGTGAGTGCGGGCTGCCCCCAGGGCCCTGAGCAGATTGTGGGAACTGGAGAGTGACAGCTCATCAATGTAGTGGGCAGCCAGCAGAGTCCAAAGTCAGAGAGCCCTGCCACGTCTGTCTCTTGGAGTCGTCTCTCGAGAGACTTGGTCTCCCCCTGTGGTATCACAGGCCTTACAAGCCTAAACCCACTGAGGCCTGGGGCTTGCAGCCAGCCTCGCCTGCTCTACCCCTCCACCCCCACCCCCCCCCTCTCCACCCCCTCACGATGCCTGAGTCTGCCATCCGGGAAGGCCTTTGGGGATAGGGCCGGGTATGGGCTCGTACAGCCGTATACACTGAAGCTTGGGGGTCACCCAGGCAGGAGCTAGTGGTCTCTGGGGTCAGACCCCGTGCGGATCTTTCAACCTGAAAACGAAGACTGTGTGTGAGTAGGAGGTAGGGACAGGGCCGTGTCCCGCCTGCCCCAGCTCTCCCAGAACTGGGTTCCCCTTCATGGCTGGTCCTTGGGTTGTCACTTCTCGCCTTTGTCTCCTAGACCCCAAAGTGCTGCCCGGGACTCGTCGCGTCCTTGCCTTCTCGCCCGTCATCATTGACAGGCATGTCAGCCGCTACCTGTTGGCCTTCCTGGCAGAGGACCTCGGAGGGTTCTGACGAACCCAGACCCTGGGCCTTACCTGCTGCTTAACCAAAGAACCCCCTGGCCGCCCACTGCGGGGTCCACACTTCTTTTTCTAAATACCTATTTTTCATTATTTATAATTTCTACGAGAACACATCACCTTCACTCTACAAGGTGCTTAATATTAAATGTCCCGGCTGTCTCTGCCTCTCTGAAGTCCTCTTCTTGAGTTGGTTTTCTGTGTGTGTGTTGGTGTGTGTGTGTGTGTATTTGTGTGTGTGTGTGTGTGTGTGTGTGTGTGTGTGTGTGTGTGTGTGTGTGTGTGTTAATGTTCTAACAATGACTGTTCACCTAGGACTGGCCCAGATGCTCCTTCCTGGCTTGAGTCCAGCCTTGGCTGAGTGCCTCCTCCACGTCCCCCCATCCCTCCAGCATCAGATGTCCTACCGTTGTGCCCTCTGCCCCATCATCCACACACTGGAGATGTCCCACACCATCCTCTCCCCACATCCCCACCATTCCTTCTCTTTGAGTCAACCATCATCTTCTCAAGATGTCCCACCCCACCCCTTTACCACACACGCTCCTCTGCACAGTCCCTCCCTTGCCGTATCTCAGCCTCCCTGGTTCTTCCTGTCTGGATGCCCTTGGTGGCCCCATCACCTGGTCTTGCTCTCAGGCCCACAGGCCACTGTGGGGAAAATGGCAGTCTCTCTCTGTTGCTGACTGAATCCCGGCCTAGCCACTGGTGGTTGGGATAGCGGTAGGTGACGAGAGTCCAGGAGCGCCAGCACTCAGAAACACCACTTCCATTGAAAGCCTCAGAAAGTGTAGACCTTTATCCTCACTTTTCCCTTAAGGAAGTGAGCCATTGGCCATTATAACCCAGCCAGGAGAAAGGGAGATGGGCATTAGGTCAGGTCTGAGCTCAGTCCACCTTGTCCTTTCCTGTGGCTAAGGAAGCTCCATGGTCCCACCCTCCCCATGGTTCCTGCCCTCTGCCTGGCTGGTGGTCACTGTCCAGCCACCAAGTCTCAGCTCCTCCATGCCCTGGAAAGTAAAGTCTTAATGGAGCTGGGCCCTTGAGCCCAGATACTATTCAATATCAAGTGTGGGGATGGGGTCAGTACTGCCACAGATGGGCTGGGTGTGGCCGGAGACCAGGCCTCAGCTGTGTGTGACACTATAGGAAACACAGTCCTTGTCACTGACCCACAGGAGCCACCCTGCCCAGGTGGAAGAGCATCTAGACTGAAAACAAGTGGTTCATAGAACTTTCTAGGTCTGTTAGAGATGAAAAAAGCCATGGTACATTTGAGGTCCTCGGCACTGGTCTCCAGCCACACCCAGCCCACCTGAGACCACCGGCAATTAGGCAGAATTGCATACATCTGGTTGGGAGGGGTGGCTGTGTACTCAGGGGTGGGTACCGTGACTCTTCTCGCCCCTTCCGTGAGGGAAGTGAACAGTCAACAAGCCCAGCTGATCCTTTGTGAGCAGGCTCAGCCAGACTATTGAAGATGGGGGCAGATTGGCTCAGAAGATAGTCCTGTACAGCAACATACATACATACAAACTTACATACATGTACATAGATACTCATGCTGTGTACATATGCACTCACATGTATACTGCATGTGCAGATACGCAGGTCCATTTGCATTCATACTCACACACGCAAGACACCAGGCACAAGATGTGAGCCAGGACACCTGATGGGCCTGGGTCAGGGTGTTAGAAGGGCTTGTTGTTGAGTGTCCTCCTCCCAACCAGTTCCTCAAAACCAGGCTTTTTTGAGGAAACAACATTGTCAACTCACAGAGTCATCATGAGTCTGTGTTTTCTGGAGTCTTTGAGCTTCTGGAGTCACATGTGATATCTTGGAAATTACCCAGGCAGGCTCAGGCTGAGGTGACCCAAACGTGAGATGAGGTGGGCGTGACTCCCAGGGAGAGGTTCCATTCAAGTCCCAGGCTCGTAGAGGACGTGAGGACAGCAACCATAAAGAGGGCTCTGGTCGCCACCCTGCTGACCGGCTCACCCCGGCCCTCAGGCTGGGTGCCTTGCAGGCATAGTGCCACACTCCACTGGAGACCTGCAGGCGAAGGCGAAGGAAAGCTGTTTCTTCAGGGCCTTTCCATCTTCCAGGACACACTGTGCCCAGTGAGAACGTGTGGCTTTGGGGACAGTGCCCAATTACCATCTCACTGCCCCACCTCAGAGCTGCAGGAGCAAGAATGAACTTACTAGTGTCCAAGCTCAGTTTGCACCCTGTAAACACAGGAGCCCTACTCTGGGCACCCATTATGAGCCCAGCTCCATGGATGAACCCCCTGCTCAAGAACCATGGCCACAGAGAGTGTTGGATGAACTGACTACTTTGTTGGAGGGTTGCCCAATACGTGACACAGTAAAGGTGACAGATACCTGGGCAGAAGTGGCAGACGAGTCAATTGTGTGGGCAGGCTCAACTTGGCCCTAGAAAGTGAAGGAGGGTCTCAAGGGGCACTGGAATCCTAGCTCCTGTCAGCAAAGGCTGGGAATGGTGTCTGGGAAGGTCCTGGGCCTGGTCCCCATTTGACACCCCTGCTGATGGCCTTCCTTAGAGATGCCTCGAAGACCTGTGAGCCCCGGTCCTCTGGCTGTACAGGAGTTCAATACCCTTATGTAGGCCTGCTCAACCTCCCAGGATTGCTGACTTCTACCCATGACTTCTTAGGGCCTACCCTGAGGCCCTTAGCCTGACAACCCCTGGACACAGGCTGTCCATGAATGCCCCTCCAAGAGTGTCCCAGCCACCTGAGCCCTATTCTGTAGCTGAATTCAAAGCCTGTGGCTGAGGTTTTCAACATCCTGGATTTTAGCTGCTGGCTTCTGCCAGGCTGGTTCTCCACAGGACTTCTCAAGCTGAATCCCATGGAGGAGAAAGTTCAGGAACTCCCTGCCTGGACCTCAGTATCCCCATCAGGCCCTGTCCTTCCTTCCAGCCATCTCGTCACCTGGTGCTTGTGACCTGGAATGAGTTAAGTCCACAAGGGGCAAGGGCCACAACTGGCCACTCACTCACTGTTGCCCCTTGCAACACAGGACAGCTGGGTCTGTGAGCGCCCCTTGTCATCTATCCTCCAATGCATCCTTTGGGTCCTAGGTAGGATGTCACTGACTCCTCTAGGCTGTCTTGGACGCTCAAGTGAAAACAGGGTCTGCTCCTTGGGCAGTATCCCCAGAAGGGAAGGGGCTAGTGGGAGTAGTGGAGAATGGAGGAGCCCCCCAACACAAGAAGTTTGAGGTGAAGGAGCCAGTGGAGGGGTTTCTGGAGCAGAGTGGATAGAATGTGATGGAGTGCTGAGCAAGCTGCACACAGGCCAGTGGGGACACAGGGACACATGAAGTTGGAGCCCAGAAATACATCTGCATCTTACACAACCCAAGCTGATGATTTTGGGGTGCGCTGACTCTGCTTTTGTGTGGTGTCATTATTTCTAGTTCTGCTGGGTCAGCACCTGCGGGCTAGGCCATCTCCCCTTTGCAGATGGCTTGTGGGGCCCTGCCAAGGTCCCTTAGCCACAAGCCCAATCAGCCACAGACCATGGCTCACGTGGGTGGGTCCTGACCAGATGAGGATGTGGGACAGGTAGACCTGTGTACTTCCCACTGGCTTTAGCACCTGAAGGACACGCAGGGAGATGGAGAGCTGAGGGACGCTGCTCTATCCCATCACTGCTCAATTCTCTGTCTGTCTCTACGGTGGGTGAGAGAATGGGAGCCCATTTAGACAGCAGGAGGGTTTTAGGACATGGCCTAGCTCAGGGAGGCACTGATTAAATCACTGTCGTGCCCTACAGGGTTTTTGTTTTGTTTTGTTTTTGTCGAGGTTTGTTTTTTGTAGTTTTTGGTTTTTGTTGTTTTGTTTTTTGGTATTTTGAGACAGGGTCTCACTGTGTAGGCCTGGAATTTGCTATGTAGACCAGGTTGGCATTGAACTCATTGAGATCTGCCTGCCTCTGCCTCCCAAGTATTGGGACCAAAGGTGTGTGCCACCACCACCCGGCTTAATCTGACAACAAATCAAGATTCTGGTACTATCTTGCTGGGGATCCAGGGCAGCAAGGGGGTTTTGTGGACAACAATGAGTGAGGTTGTGTTTCAAGGACCCTCAAGTCCCACTTTACAGTCGACCTGGCAGGTACCATGAGTGTGATGGAGGTTTACCCTGGCCTGAGAGTGGGTGGTGGCACCCACTGGCAGAAGTCAGCAGCTAGAGTCCTTCCTGGAGACCCTCCCAGATCAGTAGCACCAAAGTCAGTGTTTTCCCAAAATTCAGTATTTTGGAAGGAATAACAGAAAGTCATGAAAGCAGGGAGGTTGGAAATGGAAATGTGTCCCTAATGAAATCAGGAGGGAAGAGAAGGTATCTGGGAAATTGGACACGGGGTAGGCTGAGTGTGACGGGTGTGGGGAGAAGGAGACACATGTAGTCCAGGACCATCTCAACATTCCGAACAGGCGCTCCTCCCAGCCCAGCCCCACTGCCCACAGCGGTTCTTAAAGGACACATGGTGGGGACAGAAATGCTGCAGCAACAGCTTGTAAACCTAGCAAAGCTTAGACACAGCCAGCTTTTGCCACTGGCTCTAGTGGGCAATGGCGGGTGGAGGGCTGGGCCAGACCAAGGCTTCATCAACAAGAGAAGCAAGGGAGCTGGGGAGATGCTCAGTTGTGCAAGCATGAGGACCCGATCCCCAAAACCCCATGCAAAGCTTGGCATGGCTGGGTGTGCCTAGGATTCCAGCGCTGAGAAGGTGGAGACAGGAGGATCCCCGGAGCCTGATGGCCAGTCTAATGGAATCAGTGAGTTCTGGGATCACTGAGGAACTCTGTCTCAAAAAATAAGGTGGAGAGTGGTTGAAGAAGACACCCAATGTGAACCTCTGACCTCCACATGTGTGTGTATACACACACACACACACACACACACACACACACACACACACACACACACACACAGAGTAAAAAGCACAGAACTGGGTATACCCATTTCTCCCAGCTCCAGCAGAGCCCCGTGGCCCTCAGGAGACCCAGCAGGCAGCAGGACTCATTCTCTGGGTGCCAATGTTGGCATTGCATCAGGTTAAGTGCTGGTGGGGGCAGTTGGCATGGGTGTCTGAGTGTGAGGGAGTCATCTGAGGACAGAGCTGTGGGGAACAGGAAGCACA